TAAAGCCCTGCCCCAAAAATTCCCGTTTCCCCTCAAATTCCCCGTTCTCCATTTCCCGTTCCATTTATTCCCCATTCTCCATTCCCTCCATCCCATTTCACCCCAAAAGTCCCACTGGCCTTGAAAACATCCCAAATTCCCTTTCCCATTCCCCAAACCCCCACTGACAAGCCCCAAAATCCCATTCCCCCTCCAAATTTCCTCCTCCATCGCCCCCTTCTCACCCCAAACATCCCATGGCCCCCCGAAACCCTTCCTTTGCCCCGGTAACTCGTGATTTCCCCCAAAAAACGCAATTTCCCCCCAAAAACCCCATTTCCCCCCAAAACCCCGCTCCTACCCGGGCAGCGTCCGGCCGGGGGCCGTAGAAGGGCAGGAAGCTGGGCCCGAAGGAGGGGAAGAAGCCGGGGGTCCCCTCTGGGGGCAGAGAAAAGGGGGTTCGGGGTGGGGTCTGGCCAAGGGGGACCCCAAAAAAGGGGCGGCTCCGCTCACCCTCGAGCTCCTCGGGGTCCCGGGAGATTTGGGACAGCCTCAGGGTGGCCCTGCCCACGGCTTTGCTCCGGCACGACCTGGCGGGGGCACGGTCAGGGGTCCCCCGAATGCGGGGGGGGTCCCCAAACCCGCGGGGTGTCCCCCAAACCCGCGGGGTGTCCCCCGCTCACCCACGCAGGATTTCCAGCACGATCTCGTCACAGATGGGGGGCAGCTGCGGGGACAGAGCGGCGCCGAGTGTGGCTGCGGAACTGGGGGCGTCCCCCGTTTTTGGGGTGCCCCTGTTCGGGGCCGGGGCCGCTCCTCACCCGCAGGGGGAAGAACAAAACCTCGTTCCACTCGGGGCTGGCGTCCGCGGGCACGCCGCGGGTGCAGAGCTGCGGTGGGGAGAGCCGTGAGCCCCGAAAGGATGGGGCGCCCCCAGGGCACCCCAAATTCCCTGCCCGGCACCCCAAATTGGCCGCTCACCGTCCTGCCCGCGAAGCCGACCCGCACCGACACCTTCGGCGAGCCCGCGGCGCCGCCCAGGCGCGGCTCCGCTGCGCGGGGATGGCGAGCAGCGACTTTTTGGGGAGTCCCCAAAGCCACCCCCACCCCAAATTCCCGGCGTCCCCACCCTGTGGCAAGCAGGGGATCCCCGAATCCACCCTGCACCCCAGTTCCCGCTGTCCCCACCCCAATTCCTCAATGTCCCCACCCCTATTCCCTGATGTCCCCACGCCACAGCCCCGCTGTCCCCACCCCAATTCCCGGTGCCCCCACCCCAATTCCCGGTGCCCCCACCCCAATTCCCGGTGCCCCCAACCCAATTCCTGATGTCCCCACCCCAATCCCCGGTGTCCCCGTGCCAATCCCCGGTGTCCCTGCGCCACACCCGCGGTGTCCCCACGCCACACCCGCGGTGTCCCCAGGCCACACCCGGG